GGTAGTTGGGGAGTGGAAGGACCCAGAGTCAGACACTTGGAGAAATGATACTTCTTTAACTCAGCCAGCTCCAGGTGTGTCTGGGCGAATACAACCTCAACGTCCTTGAGGGCAACGAGCAGTTCATTAATGCAGCCAAGATCATCCGCCACCCTGAGTACAACCCAGCCAATGTCGACAATGACATCATGCTAATTAAACTGAGCTCGCCGGCTACCATCAGTTCCCGCGTATCCTCCATCGCTCTGCCAACATGCTGTGCTCTTGCTGGCACCCAGTGCCTCATCTCTGGCTGGGGCAACACCGTGACCGATGGCTGTAAGTGTCGCTGGAACTTGATTGCACAGTCTGAGAGTCCTGTAGGGGTAGGCATGCTGAAGGTCATTAAGACCAAGCTGCCACTAAGGACAGGTGTCCCAGAGGACAATTTAGGGAATTTCATCTCTTAGAAGAAATAAGTCAATATGAGAGTGACCCTTTCTCTGGGGTCATGGACAAGACACAGGGAGCAATGAGTCCATAGGATTCAGCAGACCATGTGAATATCAGCTTCCATGTCTCCGATTAGGCATTGTGATTGCTACCACTGCAGTTCAAGCTCAAGGAAATGACAACAAAATGTCTAAGATAGAATGGGAGAAAAGTATAGATGGAAGCTCAAAATCATTTAAAAAAAAAGAGAAACAGGCTTACTGATCTGATAGAGACTGGGGAAACCCCTGAAAGTATGACCCTTACATGCTCCCCAACCAGCATCGAATCCATCCCATGGCTCATGTTAGCCCAACAGCATTCAGGTCTCTACTGTGAACCCTGACATCAGGGAAGTCTGCGCTCACTAGAATAAGCAACCACATCAGACGGCAGGACAGTGTTGGCCCAGGGATAAAGCTCAGGAGGCAGGAAGGGACAGGAAAAGATATAGGCACACAGAAGATCCAGGGAGAGGATGTGGGGATTGCAATACATGACGTGAAGCCAAAAAGTGTGCACATTGTTGAATGGGAAGCCAGTTTGATTGGTAAGTTTCCCCGAAATAACAATAATTGAAACACACACACACACACACACAGTAAAGCTAGCAAGTATGATTAGTGATGCTGAGATAATTGGGAACTGGAAAAGCAAACAGAACAGAGGCTAAGAGATTTGACCAGCGGGAGAAAGAAACTTCCAGGCTTACTGCGTGTACTTTGCTGAGGGTCTTGTCCAGGAAGTTTGCTGGTAGAATCTCTCAGAACAGTGTCAATTTCCCAAGCTAGAAGCCACAGGCATGCTGAGACACAGAGTGGGAGAGATACTGGGAAGAAAATTCCATAATCTCCTGTTTTCCCTCATATGTCCAATAGACAAGTACCCCGAACTGCTGCAGTGTCTGAATGCCCCCATCCTCCCCGACTCTGTCTGCCACAAAGCCTACCCGGGCGAGATCACCTACAACATGCTCTGTCTGGGCTTCCTGGAGGGTGGCAAGGACTCCTGCCAGGTTGGTTTCTCAGCCCTCCTTCTCCACACCCAGTTTGCTGCTCATAAATCATAGTTCATAGTTCTCTTTTTCTGGAACATGGGGCTTGATCATGAGCCTGGGGGACAGCTTGAGGTGAAGGATAGGTTTTCCCTTTTGTTTGGGTAACCACTATCCCTAAAGATACCCACTGGGGAAGGGAATCCTTGAGGAAGGAAGAGGGTTTGTTTCAAGATATTGAATCTCCCCAGTCCTCACTTTTATTGGCTTCACACAACTGCAACTGTGGAGAAAAGATGGAGCTAGCAGTGGGGAGGTGGAGGGATAAGGATAGAGTAAAGAAAATAAAGGATGGATTTCCAGGGGAAGAGACGGTGCTTCATTGAAGATGGCAGCCAGGGGATGGCCCAGGGTAACAGAGAGCTGTCCTGAGCCGTCCTTCCATGTAGGCTCATGTGAGAGTCCTGACTATCTCTTCCCTGTTGTTCAGAAGGACATTGGTGGCCCCGTGGTCTGCAATGGAGAGCTCCAGGGCATCATCTCCTGGGGCTATGGCTGTGCTCAGAAGGGCAAACCCGGCGTCTACACCAAGGTCTGCAACTACGTGGACTGGATTCAGCAGACCATCGCTGCCAACTAGACACCTCCTTATGCCCATCTGGACCTCCCCACCACCCATCCCCCACTAGTCAACCTCACCTCCTCCCATGCCTGAAAATGGCATCTAAATTAAACATCCCTTCATGTCTATATGCATTTATATGAGTAGTCTTTGTTTGATGTTATGAATGTTCGCTTGAGATAAACACTGTGAATTGTGTGTGAACACAGTACATGGTAAAATCTATGTGTACCTTCTTACTGAACTAGCCATTAAGAAAGTACACATAAACTTTAAAATAATGATATCAAGAGAGAATTTTAAGATTGCCTTACTCTTTCAATCAAAGGATTAGACAATTCCACCCACTGACATAGGGATCCAGTGCCGCTATGACAGAAGCATCACAAGTGGACGCCTTCCAAAACCAGGCTCTACTTTCTCACGGTTTAGGAGACTTCGAGTACATATGCAGGACCCTGGCTCTAAGGAAAGGCACTTTCTCTCTCTCCTCCCTTGCTCGCTGCTCTGTGTTTTCCCATCTTCTCTCTTGACTCTGTGGTGACCTTCATGTGGCAACGCATCTGTCTTCCCCATGGCTGAGTTGTTAGGCTGCTCTTTCTGGATCTCAAAAGAGATCGGCACAATACCCACTCTATCTTGACAACGCCTCATTAGCAACATAAAGAAGAGCCTTCCTAAATGAAATCATGGACCGTGTTTTATTGTTAGTTCTCACTCATGTTGATTCTAAGTACAACAGAAGAAAACACTGATTCTCACAAGCCGTGCACTATGCAAGTCCACTGTCCATCTGTGTGTCCGCTCATCTTGTTGAAGGTCTTCCTCGTTTTGGCGGTCTACTTCCTTGCCTATGCTGACCTTTTATCTTACCAAATATGATGTCCTTCCCCAGCAGTGGGTCTCTCTTGATAACATGCTGAAGTGTGTGTGATGAAGTTTAATCATCTTCGCTTTCTAAGGTGCATCTGGCTGCACTTCTTCCAAGGCAGATTTGTTAGTTCGTTGGCTGTCTGCTCAATATTCTTTCCCAACACCCCAATTCAAAGGCATCAATGTTCTTCCTGTCTTTCTTACCCATTGTCAAGCTTTTGTATATTTACGATACTGCTGAAAAGATAATGGTCTTTGGTCAGGCACACCTTAGTCCTTAGAGGAACCCACCAGAATAAGGGTTAGGATTCACAATACATATTGGCAGCGGGGGTTGGGGGTGTCACAATTTAATCCACAGTGCTAATATATGGCAGACTCTGGGGGATAATTTGGATATAAAGTGAACAATGTTACCATCACATTTTAAAGTAGTTGACAGAGTTGAAAATGCAGAATGTTAAAAATCAACTTCCCAAAGCTTTCAGGTGTTCACCCTGGAATGCTGATGGCAACCCACTTTCCTTTCCCAAAGTTTTCTTACCACTCCACCACGCAATGAACTGTCTTTCTTCCTTTTGTCTCGTCTCTCACCTTTCCCAAACTCGGTGACAGGGAAAACTCTAGATGGAAAAAGGGTACATATCACAGGTTTCCTTACATTTCCAAGTCTCCACTTAACTCCATGTTCCTATAAGATCTTTCTTCTTTCCAACTGGGGTTTGATGACTAAAGCATGCTCGGATAATCTGTGCCCCCTCCTACCCCCTATACTCCCAAATCCAACCCTGATTGCATCAAGCTAAGGGATTAGAAAGAATGCGGACAGGTACGTCTGCAAGAGAGGGGTATGCATTGCAACAGTGAGAGCCTTAGCTTCAGGAGTGCTTGGCTCTCTTCTGCTTCACTGACTTGGGCACTGCAGAGACACTATCCCAGCTTCTCTGAGCCCTCCCTCTCCACCCGGCCATGTTCCCTGCATCTCCCAGAGCAGGGTTTTCAGTAGAAGTTCCTACAGCCAATTCCTGCGTCGTCCATTGAAACGGTTGACAGCGATTCTTCTTCCCGGGGACAGCTGGGCACATCGGTATGGAAAAAGAGAAAGTTTATAGGAGGTCTGAGCATGGGGAAGGCGATGTAAATTTAGAGAGGGGACATTTTTGAGAGTTTGAGGATAATGGAAAGGTGAATATCTTGTGAGGGAGTTGTAGGCACCCAGGTACAACTCTTGTCACTCTGAAGAGAGCATCCTTGACTCCTCTCCTGAGCCTTAGAGCTGTGTCTTAAATGCACAAACACAGTTGATCTCCTTCCCTCTCTCACTTCCTTAGTTCTTATCAAATTGTGCTTATGTTTGTGTATGGCTAAAATTAATGTTAAATATTTTATTGTGTTTGGGGTGGAAGTACACACAGTAGAAGAAGTTCTCACTAAATCGGTACCCACATTTGATTGTATTCCTCACATGTGTCGATATTGTCACTATGCTCATTCTTGTTGCTTCTCTCCCATTCATCTCATCTCCCTGTTCCCCGGTCTCACTGTCCCCTGGACGCTCCAATCCACACCTTAGAGTAATTATTCACTACTTGTTCTTAAGTAGATGATTTATTAAAGCACACGGTATGCAAAAAGCACACGGTATGCAAAGGTGATATTGTTTAACTTGATGAGCCAGCCTACCAGTTGGCTACAAAGTGACGCTGGCAGTTTCAGTTCAAGGTTTAGAAATTATTTCAGGCAGTGGTTTCAGGGAGTCCTTCAATAGGAACGCTATGTATGGACTTTTTGAGAGTTTGAAATTCTGTTACATATGGCTCCTTTTTCATGGGAATCCATCCGCTGTGGACGTGTTTAGAATGCTCAGTCGCAGCAGCTGGGCACCATCTCGTTCTTTGGTTTCAACTTAGAGAAGGCTCTGGTTAATGTTGAACCTCAGTCATAGAGACAGGTCCTTCCCTGATCCTTGGAAGAGAATATTTGACACTTAAAAATTTAATTAGTATTTAAAAATTTAACTGCTACTTAACATTGTCATGTACTCCAGATGAACAGAAACCAGTAACTAATCACCTTATCTGATTCATTGTATTGCTAAACTATCAGTCCAAAGCCCCTTATTTTAAATTTTATTTCATTTTTCTAATTTTTATAAATAAGGATGGTTTGAGTATGGTTTCTGTTATGCACATTTCAGAGAGGGCAGCAAAGGGAAAAATCTCTCTCTCTCTCTCTCTTCACAAACTTTTTAAAGCCCGTGTGTGTGCGTGTGTGTGTGTCTGTCCAGTTTGCTGTTTTGCTATTGTTGTTAGGCTGTGTCAAGTCAGCTCCAGCTCACAGTCATCTCATGCAGAACAGAACACAACACTGTCTGATTCTGCGCCGTCTTCACAACTCATTCTTGTGATTGAGCCTGTTGCTGAAGCCACTGTGCCAATCCATCTCTTTGACGGTCTGCATCTTTTGATCAGACCTTCTACTTTGCCAACCCATGATATCCTTCTCCGGGACTAGCCAGTCCTTCCTGATGACATGTCCAAATTAGGTGAGACAAAGTCTTGCCACGCTCACTTCAAATGAGCATTCTGGTTGTACTTCTTTCAACGCAGATTTGTTTAGTCTTCGGGCTGCCTGTGGTTTTCTTCATACGCTTCCCAAAACCTAATCCCAAACATCCATTCTTCTTTGGTCTTCCCTCTTCGGTTTCCAAGTGTTGCATTCAGGTAACATTAGAAAATACCAGCGGCTGCCTTAAGCCCACTGTAGTCTACTAAGTGACATCTTTGCTTTTGAACACTTTAAAAAAAATCATTTTATTGGGGGCTCATACAACTCTGATCACAATCCATCCATTCATCCATTGTGTCAAGCACATTCGTTCCTTTGTTGGCATCATCATTCTCAAAACATTTGTTTTCTACTTGAGCCCTTGACATCAGCTCCTCATTTCCCCCTCCCTTAGCACTCTCCCCTCCCTTATGAACCCTTGATAATTTATAAATTATTATTATTTTGTCATATCTTACACTGTCCAACATCTCCCTTCATCCTCTTTTCTGTTGTCCCTCTCCCAGGGAGGGTGTTATATGTAGATCCTTGTAATAGTTTCCCCCTTTCTACCCCACCTTCCCTCCACCTACCTGGTATTGCCACTCTCACCACTGGTCCTGAAGGGATCATCTGTCCTGGATTCCCTGTGTTTCCAGTTCCTATCTGCACCAGTGTACATCCTCTGGTCTAGCCGAATTTTTAAGGTAGAATTGGGATCATGATAGTGGGGCGGGGTGGGGGGGGAGATAAACAAGTGGCCATCTAGCTCAGAAGCAACAAAGCCCATGTGGAAGAAGCACACCAGCCTGTGTGACCATGAAGTGTAAAAGGGATCAGCTATCAGGCATCAATGAATAAAAAATCATATCATTGTGAATGAGGGGGAGTGCAGAGTGGAAACCCAAAGCCCATCTGTAGGCAACTGGACACCCCCTTAAAGAAGGGTCTTGGGGAGGAGACAAACCAGTCGGAGTACAGGGTAGCAACAATGAAACATACAACTTTCCTCTAGTTCTTTAATGCTTTTGAACACTTTAAAGAGATCATTTGCAGTAAAATTTCCCAAAGCCTGACTGCTGTGTCCCTGGGCATTGATTGTAGAACAAGTAAAATAAAATCCTTGAAAACGTTTACGTTTTCTCCATTTATCATGATGCTGCTTATTGATCCAATTATGAGGATTTCTGTTTTCTTGATGTGGGAGTGGTACTTCATATTGAAAAGAGTGTAGTTTTTTATCTTCATCAGTAAGTGCTTCAAGTCCTCTTCATTTTCAACAAGCAAGGTTGTGTCTTTTGCACTAATGTGTCTTCCTTCAATCCTGATGCCATATTTTTCTTCATATATGCTAAATTCTTGGATTATTTGCACAGTATACAGACTGAATAAGTATGATGGAAGATACACTTATACAAAATTCCTAATCTTAAAACATACACGATCTCTTTGATCTGTTGGATAAAATGCTTCTTAATGCATGTGCAGGTTCCTCATGGGCATAATTAAGTACTCTGGAAATCCTGCTCTCATAATTTGTTATGATTCATAAAATTGAATACCTTTGCACAGTCCAAAATATAAGCAAACATCTTTCT